CACACACACACACACACACACAATACATCCAAATGCAGTGGCAATTAATCAGCAAACCCATTCTTTCCTTCGAAAAATTTCTTCTGCTCTGAAAACAATGAATGATGCAGCATGCATAATTGAATGAAGCCTGATATCATATTATACCACGCCCCTTTCTTGAACTGTGTGCGCGTCAAATATTGTTTTCAATTAATAAGCTGATTATCATATCAAAACAAATGAAGACATTCCAAAGATATAAATCATATTTCATTAAACCACGCAATGTTCCCATTAAAGACTGAAAGGAAGAGAAAAACACACACACACACACACACACACACACACACACACACACACACACACACACACACACACACACACACACACACACACATTTCGTCTCTGTCTCTATGACAAAGTCTTGCCTATGTTTCAAAGCGGGTGTTCAGGAGTTTGTACGCATAATAGTTTCGAATGAAATCTTGACAGTAAAAAGTGAGGCAAAAACGTCAATATGAACCGTTTTACCACCTTGATTTTTGAAGCTGTTGCCGGTAAGGTGTCAATAAATCCCCGTTCTCAAAATCGTCTTCTGCGCATATATTCCCGTTGTTCTTTGTCCTTCCCGTGCACATTGTAACTTGAGACTAGCACGGCCATCAAAGAAAATGGCGGACAGCTCCGCAAGAGAACTTTGCGAAAATACAACACTAGCACAGCCAGAAAGACAGAAAAAGAACGCTGTGACTAGTATAGCATTGGTACTGGGTGGTATCCGTTTACACCCTCTTTGATACGAATAAGGTAGTTATAGAAACTGAATGTCCAAAATTAAAGTACATCTTCGATATGCACGAGTCAAATAGTAGCTAGGTGAGTTACCCCCCAAAAAAAACCAAAAACAACAACAACAAAACAAAACAAAACAACAACACCAACAACACCGAACAAAAAAAAACAGCTACAAAAATAAACCACAACTTCCCCAGTCCATCTTGGCACAAGCTAAGCTATCACACAATTCATAGATCTTAAAAACATGTCATAATATTATAACAACAACGTTTATTTAGCTTGTTCCTTTTTGTTTTGAACCATTCGCTCTATCAATTGCTGCTAAAAGTTCCCGCACAATGACGTGCAGAGCTGACAACTCGGATTTTAGACATCAGAACCTGATTCAAATTTGGAATGGAAACAAATAGGCGTCATGCAGCATTCAAGAACAGATAAATGGCACCTGCATCCTACCCCCTACCCCCTTCTCCATGTCCATTCCCTCCTGGATAACAAATCGAAGTCATTAACAATAACGATGTTTTTACGTGGAATATGCAAAGGTCAAAAGAGAAATAATTTTAAAAAAACAACAACCTGTCAACAAATTATGTGTTATGAGTGCAGTGAGTGCATACAGACAGTGTTGTCAGTTACAAAGCATCAATAGATTTTTTATACATGCTTTGAGTTTCACATTTTATATAATAATTGCTAGTGTGGCTTTGGTGTTGCCAAGCAACGACAGTGAGGCAACAAACGAGAAACCATTTGTCAGAATGTGTTATTGAAAAAAAAAACCATAGTGCTAAACTGAAAATCATTATTGTGCAATAATGGTGCATTCAGGCACGAGTACATAAAAGGCTTGATGGTCAAGAACAGCTGTGCTATTTTCCGACGATTTGTGGTGGGGACAATTTCTTCAAAGACGAGAAAATTGATCGTAAAAATAACATAATATACTACATTAAAAGAAATTATACATTCTTGCCATGAAGATAAGTGGGACTTTATAACACACAAGCTGCAGTCATGCCTGAGGATGTCACCATTTTTTTGGTTAGTTCACTATTTAGGCACATGATGTAGGGATTTTTTCCTTACAGAATAATAATAATAATAATAATAGATAGCATTTGTATAGCGCATACCCCCGCTCAACAGCAGGCTCTATGCGCTTTCCACTATATTATTACCCCAGCAGACCATAGTACACTCCGAAACATTCTCAGCTTCCCGGGAAGCATACAGTGCGAGCAGCCGATTAAGCGCTCAAACACTAACAAACTGACAAGATCTTTCGCTGTCTATAGCCGGGTACCCATTCCCACCTGGGTGAAGTGAGGAACATTCGT